AAAGATAAAGATACGTCACTTATGTGTTCTTATCCAATGGAACATGGTATCGTCACTAATTGGGATGATATGGAAAAGATTTGGCATCATATATTTGTTAATCACCTTCGAATTAAACCTGAAGAACATCCAATTCTTCTTACTGAAGCACTACTTAATCCGATAGGTAATCGTGAGAAAATGACACAAATTTTATTTGAACATTTTCATGTGCCTGGTAAAACTTTACTTTTCTATCTTGACTAATACGCAACATATTTTGTTTTGTGAATATCTAGCCATGTATGTATCTACACAGAGTATCCTTTCACTTTATTTCTTGGGTCGAACATCTGGTATAGTTGTTGAAAGTGGTGATGGTGTTACACAAATAATACCTATTGATGAAGGTAAGTAGAAGGATGTTTTTTCTACCTGAATTCTGTTAGAATTTGTAGGTTATCGTATTACAAATGCAATTAGCCGTCTCGATTTGGGTGGACGAGATCTGACAAATTGGATGACAAGACTATTGGCTGAGCGTGGTTATTCATTTGCAACAGCTGCTGAGCGTGAAATTGTTCGAGATATCAAAGAAAAACACACCTATGTTGCATTCGATTTCGAACAAGAACTGGCAACAGCGAAAGATTCAAAAAAAATCAAACAAAGTTATCATTTACCGGATGGTCAAGAATTAACAATTGACAGTGAACGTTTTCAATGTCCTGAAGCACTCTTTCAACCAAGAATGATTGGCCAACAAGAATTAGGGATTGTTGAACTTTTGCATAGTTCAATAATGAGATGTGACGTAGATTTACGATCTACTTTTTATTATACTATTATGGTATGTGGCGGTAAGTTAGATTGAATGTTTATAAATGATTGTTTGGAAGTAAATATTTGAAGGAAATACAATGATTCCTGGGTTTATCAATCGAATGCAAAAAGAAATGAGAGCAAAAGTTCCATCAGACAAAAAAGTTCGAGTAGTTGATGCACCAGGTCGACAATATTCTGCATGGATTGGCGGTTCAGTTTTTGCTTCAATTTCTGCATTTCAAGCAATGTGGATTTCCAAACAAGAATATGATGAGTCTGGTCCATCGATTGTACATAGAAAGTGTGTGTAATTATATTTGCTATTTGTAACATCTTGTAATACATAATAATAGTAATAATAAATATTTTTCTTATTAAATAAAGAAGTAGTTTTTTTCCGGAAAGGGCATAAAAGATGCATTATCTTAGTACTATGCAAAAGCTACGTGTGTAATTTAGATATTTCCAACAGGTATAACAACTTGATTGTTAAAGTTTTTAATATGAGAATATTTACTTTTAATATTTTCAGGTCGTACATGTCAAATATATTTTAATATAATGGACAGACAGATGACAGAACAAAATCTATCTTATGTAGTTTAGTTTATCTTGATTGGTTAGAATAGTATCCATTCAGTCATTTGTCAAAAAAGAAACGTAATACTTACTTACACAACAACAGTATTTAGATTTAGATTATTCGAATCTTTTAATACTAAAAACTTGATTCGAAATTAATTGAATGTCATTTACTTATGATGATGAAATTAGGCCAATTGTGATTGATAATGGTTCTAGCGTTATCAGAGCTGGTTTTGCTGGAGATGATACACCACAAGTAATACTTCAAAATGTCATTCGTCATCGACGACATAATTCACTACAGCCAGATACAAGTTACAGTGATTATTTTGTTGGAAATAAACTATTCAAAGATAGAGGTACGTCACTCAACTGTTCTTATCCAATGGAACATGGTATTGTCACTAATTGGGATGATATGGAAAAGATTTGGCATCATATATTTGTTAATGATCTTCGAATTAAACCTGAAGAACATCCAATTCTTCTTACCGAAGCATTACTTAATCCGTTAGGTAATCGTGAGAAAATGACACAAATTTTGTTTGAACATTTTCATGTGCCTGGTAAAATCTTCTTTGTTTTTGTGTTGATTAATAAACAACATATTTTGTTTTGTGAATATCTAGCCATGTATGTAGCTATGCAGAATATCCTTTCTCTTTATGCAAGTGGAAGGGGAGCTGGTATAGTTGTTGAAAGTGGTGATGGTGTTACACAAATAATGCCTATCAATGAAGGTA